ATTCTGGACCAAAAATGACTCGGCATTCAATCTACATAGTTGCATCTTTGAATCGCATTGAATTGTAAGAAACAAATAGCAATTCACACAATTCCGACTACTTTTATCAAAACAATAAAGTTTGACCAATCACAGAGGATCTATCCATCATTAAATAGTAATGGGTGTATAAGAATATATGGGTCAAGAATTATAAAATTTATGGTTTGGGTGACAATATGACACCAGACTTTTTGGTTTTTGAACTGACTGAGATTGAGGACAGCCAGGCACAGATGGAGGATTAAAGTCCATAAAAGTATCTTCACACAACGTATTTGAGTTCTTCTTATGATAATATATTATATTATATTATATTATATATATATATATATATAGTTTTTATAGAAACTCTTCTGGTCAAAGATTTATAAACAAAATTACAAAATTAGAGCTTCCTATACATAAAAGACATCATTAGCATATAATAATATCATTTTGTCATGATTCTAAGTTCTAACTTGCAATAATTAACTCAAGAAGACAGAATTTATACCTGCTCAATATTTTTGGGCAAAGTAGCTTTCTCAAGGGCCTTTGGAGTCCATATCTTGATGTCATGCTCAATACCACTGCTTGCAAGAACCATTGTATGAGGATGAGACTCAATGCAGTTCACAACATGCTTATCTGCTTCCATGACACGAATAAGCTGACCACCTTTCTTTTTCCATATGAAAATCCGACCACAGTCTGACCCACTCACCACATACTCACATTTAGGTCCAAAAAAGTTAACACCCTTCACTGTCTCACAGTTCCTGTGTCCCTTAAAAATTTGCGGGGTGATTTTCTCATCAGCATCCATGGTGGATGGAGATGACACAGACCCATGATTAAATCCAATTTCACTTGCATCACTGTTCATAGATTTAGGGGACCCAGGATCAGGGTTTGGTCCCAAACCCATGTCTTGGGTAAACAGGTAAATGAACTCGTCATTGTATGACACAAGCAGCTCTCTTTGTTCAGAAAAGGCCAAGCCTGTTATTCCAACTCGCTCATCACCAATCAAGTGTGGAGGGCAAAAATAGTCAGTCGGTTGACCAAAATCAGTTGATCCATCCCATTTATATTTGCGAATATCATAAAGTCGAGTATACTCATCAGACCCAGCAACCGCAAAGAGATTTGGGTTCCTTGGATCAATTGCAATTGCATTGAGATGGATGACTGGCATGTAATTCCATCTGTCCTTGATTGGCTGGCATGTAAAAAGTTCAGTTGCAGACCCAGTTCTCAGATCAAACTGCCAAAACACTCAGTGAGAAATGACCAAAGTGTATACAATAAAAAATTAAAAGCAGGAAAGAATCAATCACCCACATGCTGCACTGATCCATCTTCACCACAGGTATAAAATATATGTGGGCTACCCGGCTCAATAGCCAACTTATGAGCCCTTCCTTGATGCTTGGCCAGAAACTTAGTTTCCACTCCTCCATTTTCAAGAATTTGAGCTTGTCTCACCTATAATTGAGAGTTTGCACAGGGAAACGCGCTTCTCTCAGTAAATCAATCTATAAGAAGGTTCATACATATTCATTACAAAAATAATAAAACATCAGTATATTTCTCTTGACTTAGAAGTAGAGCACCAAGTTAGGGAAACAAATTAGCCATCCAGAAAGCATAAAGCATTTTTGCATCCAGGAATATATGCATAAGTTAGTAGCATTAGTTACGAAAACCATTAAAGGAACAGGAATGGTGACCCCAATGACAATGCGAAGGATCACAGACGTGAAAGGAGTATAAACGGAATCCTTATGACAGAAAGGATGTACCTGTCCATCAGCGGCACAGGTGACAATGCTTCGATCATCAGAGTGAGGCATGAACTTGGCCTGGAAGACATTGTTAGCATGACCAGAATGGAAAGAGAGTTTGATACGGCCAGTTTCCCAGTCCCAGAGAATAACCCTCAAGTCATCAGAACCAGACACCAGAATGTCACCATCTGCATTGAAGCTCACAGTGTTGACACAGCCTCTGTGCTTTTGCAGCTTCCTAAGTAAATCAAGACGAAGGACAAGATCCTAAAACACACGACACCACGTTGATTCATAATCAGTGTACAGCTTTGAGCTTCTGCACAGAGGCACATTCAGATTCGTACACAAAAGCGTGTCGTAGCCTAATTACAGTAATTATAATTATTGTTTGTAAAAGCAAAAACCCACCTTAATCGGATTCCGAAAACAAAATACCCTTTACAAGGAGTGAAAAAGGCGACATTTTTAAGTTAATCCTCGGGAAGCAAACAGGTAGTGAAAAATAAAAAATATATAAAAAATATATATAGAAAGAGGGTTACGGAACCTCGGAGGCGGCGAGGCGGAGAGCGAAATTTCTGGCAGGGAGGTGGCCGAGTTCTCGATTGCAGAGATCGGGGAGGGCCTTGTATACGGCGGTTATTGGCCTCTTGTTCATGATTGATGATTGATGATTGATGATTGATGATTGATGGGTGCAACAGAGCAGAAGAGTGATGAGAGAGTGTGTGAGAGAGAAAGAGAGAGATATGAGATATGGATTATGGAATAGATGATCTTCGAATGCTCACGTACAAACTACACTCCTTTCGCTTTCCTTTTAATTAATCCACACTCCCAACATTACGCTCTCTTCTCTGTCTAATACATTATATATAATTCAATTTTACAAATAAATATTGTATTTAATATTTAAATTAGTATATATAATATTTTTTAATATATAAATTTGTGATAAATAATTTTTATTATAAAAAATTTATTTTTACTTATTGATATTTTATTTTAAAATATTAAATTTTAATTTATAAATAATTATAATTAATAAAAAAGTGAATTCGATAAAAAAAAAAGAATTGAAAAAAATTATACAAACTCTAAAATGAAAAAACTCTTAAAAATACTATTATGAAAAATAGATATTTATGATTTATATATAAAACAATTTATAATTGTGCTATTAAATTTAATTAGATCAAATAAGTCACTAAGTTGTACAAACACTTTTGATAGTTCAAGGTGATCGACCCACAAGAGGTTATAGTTCATATATTATCAAGAATTTATTATTATCAAGATAATTCTATTACTCTCTTGAATCTATTTTATCTTGTTTGTTTTATCTGCTCAATAATCGCCAATTATTAAATAATATTATTTAATCAATTGATATATATATATATATAAGGGTTCAAACGATACTGGTGTAACTGTGTAACTTTTATTAAGTGTTACACTGCTCAATAATTTTAAATTAAATGTGAATTTTGTAAATCCAACCGTTAAATTGAAAGTTCTTTACTCTTAGATCATATATACAAAATTTTATATTAATTTAAGATGATTTGATACTTCATTTTTATAAAATAAAATTGACTAAATATATTTGTTTCAAAATATACTAAAATATGAATACTTTATATGTGTATATTAAATTTTGTCAAAATTGAACAACAACTTGAGAGTCAAGGGAAACTGAGTGAAAAGTGTAAAGAAAGTGAGTGGAAAGTGAGGGATTTGAAGGGAAAGTGAGTGGAAAGTGAAGTTGTTTGGATTAAGGGAAACTGAGTGAAAAGTGTAAAGAAAGTTTATGAAAGTTTGTGAGTGAATTGATTGATGTGATAAATAAAAATGAATTTTTTAATTAATAATTTTGTAAGATTACTATTTTGCCCTTAGGTTAATTTTTTTTATAATTATTATAATTAAAAGATAAATATAAAAAATTTAACTAAAAAAATAAATATAAAATCTTAATTTAAAAATAATTTAATTTAAATATTTGCTTTAAATTTAATGATAGATAAAAATTAAAAATTTAATAGATGAATATGTAATTTACACTTTTACC